TAACCAAAATGGTTTGGTTACCAACATTCTTCAAAATATCTTTATGTTCCACAGAAGTCAGTCATACACATTTTTGGGTGAACTATCCCTTTAAGGTTTGGTAAAACAACAAAATCAAGCATAGAAGCTGGCATCTTCTCTTCCTGTTACTCAGATATAGTGATAAACAGATGCCGCTAGTATTAACAGTGGTACTTTGTGTTAATGACATAAGCTCAGTTTCAGACCAAACAATCAAAGCAAGTGTGAAAACACCCTGAAAAATCTCATTCAAAACACCACGGTGGTGTGAATGCACGCCATTTTCAACCTCAAACAACATTACAGAAAAAGACAGCAATTAACAATTAGTTTAATGGTAAAAGCTTCACAGCCTTATTCAATTAAAACACATCTAGAGCTAATAAAAAGAGGAGGAAAGCAGGAGAAACACAGGCAAATTGTGTTAGCACAATAATTCTTTAGTTACTGATGAAGTTATGAGGTATCGGCGTGTGCTAAAGCCAAACGTATCCACAGGCATCACTACCTTTAAATATACCCGTATCCTCTTCATTTGTGAGATTCTCCAACCAAAGACCTGCCTGAAGCTCCCTGTCCCAGGGGAAATACTCTTCCGCTGTCATCCCATACAATTACCCCAGCACACGCACATCCACACAGTGATGGAAAAGACGGAGCAGAGGATCAAGAGACAAGTGACAGGCAAAAGATGGGGAAAAAATAATATTGTCACAGAACAGGATGATGCACAGAACAAGGAACCTCCAATAACATTCAGAGACTGAAGTACTGAGGACTTCAACAGTAGTATCAGCTACAGCAGGGCTGTCCAAACTCGGTCCTGGAGGGCCGGTGTCCTGCAGAGTTTAGCTCCAACCCTAATTAAACACACCTGAACCAGCTAATCAAGCTCTTACTAGACATAGAAACTTCCAGTCAGATGTGTTGAGGCAAGTTGGAGCTAAACTCTGCAGGACACTGGCCCTCCAGGACCGAGTTTGGACAGCCCTGTGCTACAGTATGGACTTGGCACTGATTTGGGTGATTTATTTATTTATTTTATTGAGCTAAAGCAATGAACTGACAAAATATGGCAAATCTTTGGAATGATGTAATATGACAGTATAATACAAGTACTATATATTGTTGTCTAAAAAAATGTTATACCATGGCATTGTACAGTCTTTGATTCTGATTGGTTGACAGGTGCTCCATAATTCAATAATTTCAATAATTCAAAGGTCCATCGCCAATTTTTCCTTAGCTATTTGTTAGAATTCACCATGTAAAATAGTTTGACTCTTATTAAAAAGTTTGTGTCAAAGAAAGTTATAAAAGGTTCTTTTTATAAAGGAGAAATACAAGACACAGTTTGAAAAGGAAAACTAGTTCATTTGCCAGAGATGCCGCAAATATCTGAAAATGCAGAAGGTTGAAAAGGCTAGTAACAGTGGCACATTAGTATAAACAAGTTTAGAATCGCTGAATGATTCAGCGTCTCACTGATGAGATATATCAGCGTAAAAAATATATACATCAGGGGCTGAAGCTCTGGGGTTAGAGCAATCTCTTGGGAAATCTTTTGTCTTACATTTTTCATCAGAAAGAGTCATACTCAAAGAAAAAAATTTTTTTTGAAGTTCTCTGTGAATATGAGACAGCAGACAACCCTGGTGAACATTTAATATCTAATCAGGGGAGCTAGACGCCACATGCATAAAGATGATATGAAGTGGACAGAGGAAATGAGACTCTGCAGAGCAAACACATTACAGTCTTTCTATTTCTTTAAAATTATCTTCTAAAAAGAAAAAGTATATAAGCTACTTCAAGTTTTCCATCTAAAATCAAATGAACCGCCATAAAACTGGACATTCTGTCCAGGACATCCATCTACATCCATTATTCATTGTGTAGAGACACTTTTAACACCCTCACAAGTACAATGAATCTAACAGCACTGACGCGAAGCTTACCATCACTCGATTCCTCTTCTTCCTCCTCCTCGTCTTCATCTTCCTCCTCTTCATCCTCGTCCATCTCTCCATCTCCGTCATGAAGGCGATCATCATCTTCTGCTGCTCCAGGGTCGCTTCCTCCCTTTAGTTTAGTGTGGAGCTCCACCGCCTCTTTCCAGGGAACCCCACCCAGATCAGACGGGCCGGCAGCTTCCGGTTCTTCATCCTCTTCCTCCATATCAGACTCTGAGCTGCTGTAGGGATGGATAAGTGTGTAAAAACCACCAAATGACCCCTGGTTGCTCTTTTTACTCACAAAATAACAAGTTACCTAGACTACAGTTCAAAAGCTTTGGGGTTGGTAAGATTTTTAAATGTTTTAGAAAGAAGTCTCTTGTCTCTTAAGCTAACCAAACCATTTGATTAAAAATACAGAAGAAATGTAATATTGTGCAACACTACTAAAATAAAAAAAACACTTTTCTATTTTAATAGAAAGCTGAATTTTCAGCACCATTACTCCAGTTTTAGTGTGCCATACGTTCCCTTAGAAATCATTCTAATGCTGATTCGGTGCTTAAGAAACATTTCTTATTATCAATATTGAGAACAGTTGTGCTGCTTAATATTTTTTTTGTAGATACTGTAAAGCAATTTTTCATAGGTTCTGTAATGAATAGAAAGCTAGATAGATTAAAAAGTTGTTTTTTTTTTGTAAAAATTCAAATTTGATCAATTTAATGCATCCTTGCTAAATAAAATGATCATGGCATTAAAAAAAACCTTATTGAAAGTTTGAAATAACAGGATTAGTGAAGATAGTTATAGAACGGAATGGCAGATAGAACGGAATGGCAGAAGTTTGTTCAATAAGACCATGAATGAGTATTAAGAAACTATTTTGATTTCATGTTCATTCATGACACTTTTATATTTAAAAGTTTTGATTCCAAGCAAGAACATTTGAAATTCAACACAGGTAAAAAAAAATTATAATAAAGGCAACACTATGTCCTCAAATGATGAACTCCAGTAGATGTTCTTCAAGTCACTTTTCTTGAACAAATTACATAGATTAAAAAGTTGTTTTTTTTTTGTAAAAATTCAAATTTGATCAATTTAATGCATCCTTGCTAAATAAAATGATCATGGCATTAAAAAAAACCTTATTGAAAATTTGAAATAACAGGATTAGTGAAGATAGTTATAGAACGGAATGGCAGATAGAACGGAATGGCAGAAGTTTGTTCAATAAGACCATGAATGAGTATTAAGAAACTATTTTGATTTCATGTTCATTCATGACACTTTTATATTTAAAAGTTTTGATTCCAAGCAAGAACATTTGAAATTCAACAGGTAAAAAAAAATTATAATAAAGGCAACACTATGTCCTCAAATGATGAACTCCAGTAGATGTTCTTCAAGTCACTTTTCTTGAACAAATTACAATATGCCAAATGTAAATAAACTTTAATTTAAGCTTCTGCATTAAAAATATTTTCCAAGTTATTTCTATCATGTGAAACAGGAACTAAAGAGCATGGAAAATTGTAATTAAAAAACCGCAAACACTGTTGCCACACATTTTAATTACAGCAGAATTATATTAGTAAAGTACCAAGGAATACTAATGAACAAGCACTGTTTTCATTATATTATGTAATGGCTGAAAATGACTGATAATTAGTGGTGCTCACATGATAGAAACACGCTAGAACAGCGCAACCAACATGACATAAAGATGAGAGGGATACCTGGATCCCTCCTCGATGTCGGTGGCTTTGTCCAGCACACTGCTGAGGTTGTGCTCAGCCAGCGTCTCCTCGGGCACCTCCTGCAGCTCCTCCTCTCTCATCATAGATAGACGGTAGTTCTCCAGCTCGATCCTCTCAGGAGTCCCTTTAAGACGTTTGGCCACGCTGGGCTCTGTAACCCCGTTCACCTCTGTCACTGTGATGGACAGAAAAGAGGAGAAGAGAGAAAACGTCATTAATGTAAATAGTTAATATGTAACAAATAGGGAGTGGCTCTGGGTTGGTATGCATAATCATAATTATAACTAATAAATTCTTGATTTAGTTTAAGCTAAAATCATTAGACGTCAATCCAGAGATGAATAAAGATTTTAAGTTTATTATTTCATATAATTCATATCTACCGTCCACCCACCCTACCTTCTTTTAAGGTTGTTTTACTGCACAAGGATTAATTTCCACTCAGACAAATAAGACAAACACAGTCAAAGTGATAACTCTTTAACTTTATTTAAACAAGCAATATTTGGCCTTCATGATTCCACAGATATTCTAGATTTAAATATCATGTTGTCAGGAAAATACTTTAAATATGTTCTTAAATAATAAATACAAGTTATGGTTACCTTGCCTTTTTCCCTTCCTATTAAAGCATCTCAGATAAATGGAGTAAATTGTGTTTTAATATTAATGAACTTTTTAACATTAATGAACAGGTGGACATGTGTATGACTAATACGTCTATCCAGTGAAGCAAATCCCAAAACCCAAATCAAGCCAGTGAGAACATTTTGTGAATGTAATTAAACAAACAAAAAAAACATGACTGTGATGGTGGAAGTGATTAGAGGGATGAAGCAAGCAATCCATATAAAAAGAATCGAATGAAAAAACTCGTCACCCGTAACTGAATTATGACCGATGTATTCAGAACTGAATAATGAATATGCCTCGTATAGTGATTATGTAGTGACAGACCCCATGAATAAAATAGTGTGTCGTGACTCGTGTTCACTTGATGCATATCTATGATTCCAGACGAATCTGATCTTATCACCCAAATGCTAGAGGAATACTAAAAATAAATAATATAATATTCTTATTCAGACACATTCTACTTTCATATTTTTCAGCCATATTTTCCCCAAAATCTAAAAGTATAAAAAAAAAATGTGCATGAGGAAACGGAATTCTGTTTTTAGGCCAATTATTTGTAGTCTAAGTCTACTGTAAACCATAAATATAAAACTTTCAGTACTGCAATGAAAAAACATAAATAAACAGGTCAAATGATATATTAATAATAATGCAATTTTCTTAGGCATAACAGTAATACAAATGATTTTGCATTAAACGAAAGCTAAGAAAATAATGTCAAAATGCAAAACATCTTAACGGTTCTAAAAAAAATAAGCTTTATTTTTTTTATGCAAAACATCATTTCTATTTTCTTGCTATTTTTAGGTGAAATATAACTGAAAAATTATTTATGAGATTCAAACCTCTAAAATGTCTATGCTAAATATATTAATGTTGCTAAAACGTGCTAAAACCACTATAACCATTTACACTTTATATATTACATCCTAAGTAGCACAAACTCACCGGATGTTTTGCATTGTAAATCATTCTCAGTGATACACACATGACGGATGCCACGAGCAGTGGTGTTAGTACTATGCAGAGGAGAATTAAGAGTTGAACAAACACTGGGACAGAAATGCAAGGACTGATGGGAGTGTAGACCAATCACAGGCACAGATGCAGGCACTAGCTCAGCAACAAGCTGCTCTGATAGGAGAGGGGTAAAGTAAAGCTTACAGAGTCCACCAATCACAAGCACTGATGCGAGCACTACATTACAAAAGGGGCACAGGTCAGAAATTAGTACAATCACAAACTTAAAGGCACCAAAATCACAGATCTATACAGTGGAAGGACAGAAAGGAGAGCAACAAAAACAGGCTATAAGTAAAGAATATTTATAACACATGCAGGCAAAAAAGGTTAATTATTATTACACGTAATGTGTTATTTGACGAATATAAACTTTTCTAAGTCACTTCACACATTTTAAAAGCTCTAAATTATGCATGCAATTAATTAACAGTAGTTAACACACTTAATTGATATGCTTTTTTGCCCGTATGGTTTACTCATAATCAAAAGAAGAGATTTAATTAGGCTGCACCACTCGGAATATTACACATATTATATACAGCCAAGCAGTTTACAATGAGTTAATCATTTGTGACATCACCAGGGATACACAAAACAAGCACAATATCACTCGAAATCACAGCACGTGCGGGCAGGAAGTGCCCCGATAAGCTCAGAGGCTGGAAAGGGGTCATGCTAGATAATATTGAGCAGGATGTTGAGAGTAAAGTAGGAGAGCAGATAAACGCAATAGGCGAGGAGGAAAGGAGAATCTAAGGGATTGTGCGCCACCTGGTGGCGGGTCCAAGACATCGCTCGTCGCAACGAGCGCAGAATGCCCCCTACTCCTCGAGAGGGGCACAGGACGGGGCCTAAAGAGGAAAGGCAGGTACCTGATGGCTGGCGTTCCACAGGGGCCTGAGAAGTTATGGCTTGGCCTGGGGCATCCACTGTGTTGGGGGTTACCGCCAACACCTGGGGCTCCTATGACCACAACAAAAAACTTCTGAATATATTAACTTTTTTTGTTATTACATCAAAAAAAAAAAAAAGTTAAATAGAATGTACAGTGTCAGAAAAACAACTCTCTGATAAAAAACAAAACAAAACATTGATCTCTCCCCAAACACAGATGCTAAAGAAGTCAGTACCTTGGGGTTTACGGGAGCAGCAGCAGCAGGCGCAGGCCGTTTTCTCTGTGCTAGACCAGAAAGCCGGTAGCAGTAGTGTGGTTTACAGTAAAACTTCCCTACAAGAGCGAAAACACACACAAATGAACTCCATTAGCATCTGTTTCAGGACATAAATCGGAGAAAACCTCAAATGAAGTGATTTATCAAATGTGAAATGCAACAAATGTGGTTGATCTGTAACTACACCACGTGGGAGTGTACAAAATGGCTCATAGTTAATAAAGAATCGTTGATGTAGAGAAATGGTCCCTCTGTCTCATACAACAATATCCCACTGTGTTGGTCACAAATAGGGGTCGACCGATTATCGGCGCCGATATTAAGCATTTTTATGATTATCGGTATCAGTCATTTTTAAAACCGATTCGCCGATAAAATAACTTAATTTTGAAACGCGCTATCTGATGCAGCCTGTCAGAACTCACCACTCTGTGGCCTAAAGCAGTCTCCGCCCACCGCTCATCTGATTTGTTGGGAGTCATGAGTCCGACCAATCAATGCGGAATTCACTCTCACTCCAAAAGCGCTTGCTAACTGGAGCTACTTCAGTGATCACGCATCAGTTGTCTCTCAAAGGTAAGGCAGCAGCAGACGTTGCTTAAGTTGCAATAGATCCCAATCCACTAACGTTACTCTGAAGTTGCAAAACACCTCAATATTATCTATGATTTCCGCGATGCGGAAAACGCGGACGGAATCGCGGAATCCAGTCATATAAATGGAATTTACTGTATGACGCGGAATGTCACGGAATTTGTCAAAGTTTGGATGAATTAATCAAAAGTAGGTCAGTACACTTAAATAGTCGCAATATGGACTAGTATCTGTAAATATTAAGCCGCAAAAATACGATTTAAATATGAATCCAGCATGTTCTGCGTGTCTCTGTGTATGTAAATGGCACAGACGAGCGGTTTTGTTTTCTACACATACAAAGTGTGCGACGCTCGCAGTGATTTCAGCTTCTGTCGTATCACTACATGAGGACATAAATACATGAACAACATCTCCAGAACTGCTTTGACTCCTCACTTCATGAGCATTTGACAGTTTCATTGGAGTAAAACTATCTTCATATCATTTACATAGACCAACAGAAACAAGTTCCTCATGGCAACCCGTCAAAATATAAGTTCGGGTTAGCTTAATGAAATTATCAGAAAATCAGAGGTAAAAAATTATATAAATACTGTTCAGTTTCTTGCACAGACCGATCGTTTCGTGTCTTTACACATCAATGTATCGTCACGAGCCGCAGGATTTAATTTGGTTTTGTCTGTGTATGTTTTTTTGACTCAAAGCCGTGGAGCCCATAGACTGCCATTATATGACTGACAGACCGCAACGGTTTGAGTTAAAAATCTTCGTTTGTGTTCTACTGAAGAAACAAAGTCACCTACATCTTGGATGCCCTGGGGGTAAGCAGATAAACATCAAATGTTCATTTAATAAACAATAAAAAAATGTAATGTAGGAAAAAATGATGGTATGAATAGTATGAATAACATGATCGGGAGGGATTTTAATTCTGCTTGGATTTCATACCATCCTCAACATCGAAGGCATAGGAGGACAGCCGGAGGGTGGTGCCACAGTAGTCGCACTTGAAGCAGCTGCGATGGAAAAACTTTCCCTCTGCACTGAGACGCTCCATCACATAGACGCGCTTCCGACAGAAGAAACACACATCGCTGCCTCCAATATTCTGAGGGAACTCCTTCCGCAAGGAACCCTGCAGAGAGAAAGACATAGAAGCGAGACATGCTAGCTCAGGTCTTTTTTTAAGGGAGAGCAAGGAGTGGCACCGAAGTGCTTAAAAATCTGCCAAAAGAGAGACAGCATGCACCAAAATAATTTATGATCTTCTGTGCTTCGAGGAACTGAAGACCCAATTCTTGTGTAAAGTTAGGTGCATGAAAGACTAAAATAATCACATCTGTGTAAATCAACACAACTAGGTGTTCTTATTTCCCAATATTGACACTACATCCTTTAAAATAAAATATGTATATAAAATTATGTACATTTAGAAATTATAAAAATGAAAGATTTAGGAATATTTTAGAAATTAAAAAAAAATTCCAAATTATAAGAAAAATACTAAACTACTATAGTAGTTTACAGACAAGTGAAAGAAAAACAGTTCACCGTTTCATCTGCAGCTCAGCATCAATACAGTGAACCTTTCTCACATCATTTTTCTTGGAACAAAAACTGTTGCAGTATAAGAGTACATGGATTTAATGCCGAAACAGAACAACTTTTTAGCCTTATATTGAATCTCATAGGTGTTATTCCTGTCCGGTTGTCGTTGCTGCAGTGTCTTGATCCAGTTACCAGTGCACTGAATCATGGTTTATGCAATGTGGTCACAGAGAGTTGGTGATTCTCAGTGCTACAAGTTAGCCATGTACCAAAGCAAAAATGAGCTATGCAGCCTCATTTGTGAAAGCCAATACAACAACACCGCATATTAGTATGATTTCTAAAAGATCATGTGGCCCTGAAGACTGGAGTAATGATGCTGAAAATTCAGCTTTGCCATTAAAATACAAAACAGTTGTTTTACATTGTAATAATATTTCTGTTATACTGTATTTTGACGGGGGGAAAAACAAATGCAGCCTTAGTGCGCACAATAGACTTCTTTTAAAAACATAAAAAGTAGCAACCCAAAACTTTTGAATTGCTGCTGCCAAAATGATTATTTATTAAAACAATAAGCCACAAGAGGGCATGTTACAGTGATTTGACCACACTTAAGGAGTGTTTTACCTGTGAACACAACATGAATAGGAGCTTTATTTAAGCTAGAACATTTCTTGAAAACAATTTCCACTCCATTTTTGTGAAATCTGTGTTGTGATAAGGCCAAAAGACCGCTTAACTGCTAAAATGCATCAACGGTTTAAGGCTGTGCATGAAAAAAAAGTGTGTTTTCAAGGACACCTGGTGCTGAGAGTTCACCTTTGGCTTTGCTGGTTTGTCTTTAAACTGAGAGGCTAACCTCTCGGCTCTCTCCTGAATGCTGGCGATGTGTAAAGGCACGTGATCATCAGAACGCAAAATCTCCCTCTGCTGTGAGAGAGATGCAGTCTTAAGTCATAACGTTAGGACAAGGAATATCACAGTTTTCTGCAATCCTGTGAATAAAATCCATTAGGAAAGACCTTTTTATTTGTGTAGAGTTATGTATAAAGCATTCAAACCATCATAGGTTAGAGGAACTGTGTGTTTAAGGTACAGACGAGACGTCCATGCATATCTCTCCATGCTCAGGCAGGGCTACCTGATGCTGGGGGTCAGAAGGGTAGAAGGGTTGCTCAGGACTGAGGCCGTGGGTCAAAAGCCACTGCTCAATGAAGAACTGTGACGGCTTTTTCATAACCTTCACAAAGGAAGACGTGAGGGAATAAAAATATAACTATTAAATTAAATATGTTTGGAAAAAGGAAGAGCATAAATGTTCAAGATAACTCAAGGCCACAACTCAAGACATGGTGTCATTATTGTCTTTAACCTAGTTGTGTTCTTGACCAAGTTGACCAAAAATTTAATTTCTGTAATTTACTACACCAGCAACTGTTTTTTTTTTTGGTTACTAAAATATCTTAGAAGAAAGAAACTCAAACAGGTTTGGATCAACTTGAGGGTGAGTAAATGATGACTTTTAATTTTGGGGTGTACTATCCCTTTAAGAGCATGCTCTTTTCTCTTGAATTGCTCTACCTGTGGCTTGTCCTTCCTGTCAGGCTTGCCTTTACACCTAGTGACTAGAGTGTCCATTCGCTCTTGAATGCTAGGGATATGTATGGGCTCTGGCTTGTCCACATTAGGCAGGTTATCTTCCTGTAAACGGAAAGGCTGATGAAACTCTTTTTGGGTTTGAAATCTTATCTGCATATCGTATTGTAGAGTGCTGCAGCTGTGACTTCAAACCCCAGACGGCCAATACTTCATGGGTTCCCTTGAGATTTTCCTTTGGGTTTTTATAACCGACTTTTCCAATTCATGAGTGAAATATAGTCTGCCTGTGGTAAACATAACTTACACTTGGACATTTTGTTGTACAATGTAAACTGTACACACTCGCACTCCCTAATTCTTATGTAGTTACTTGTTACAAACAAACAGTTATGTTCATTTTTTAACATTAAAAAAAAGATTTTCAGTATGTGTAATTTATGTTGTAGAGCAAAATGTCCAAGTATCATCAATTTATTTTGAATCGTCACATATTTGAATCGATTTTCAACCGGCTCGCGGTTAATCGTTACATCCCTATTTACTACAGACCTTATTTTACTCCTACACTGAAAAACTCCATTATAAAAATCCATAGGAAAATCTCAAGGGAACACATGGTGAATAATTATTCATGGTTTTGACATCACATCTGTGGCACTCATTTGTGCTGCAAGTTTTTGTAGTTCTAATTCTAAAAATTAATATATATACTGAAATTACACATTGTTATAAATATAACATGTTTATTCCGCAAATCTAGTGAAGTTAACTGTAGTTCTCCAAACACACATGCATGCATGTTCACGAAGATGTAATGGAAGTTACAAATCTTCAAAAGATTTGTTTAGCAAAGTTTTGAGAAAAGCCCCATGCAGATGTCATGGTTACCCTGTAATAGATTGAAGGGTCCTGGATCTCATTCTCTTCATCACCACCACCATTACACTTGTTTATCTCTGACTGGTTAACATGATGCTGCAGAGAACAGACATAAATCAGTTCCACCCTATCATTAGCTAGGAGATCTCAGACTAAACGAACAATCAAAACCTAGAAGGGTAACAGCCCCATATTTCTGAAACAAAAATGCAACAAAAGCCATGGTGGTCTATTCCAGTATTTTCATTAAACTGATGCTAACCAAAATGCAATTTCAACTTTATCAAACTCCATAAAACACAATGACAATTTTTTTGGTTTCCAGAACTGCACGAAACATTCCATTTCAGCTTTAGGTAAATTGGTCATAAGGATGTGCAACTACATACTTTCAAAACTGACAAGCCTGACTGAATGATAAATGTTTTATTATAAATAAATGCTAAATATAATATTTAACCACAGCTAAAAATATTAAAACAAGGAAAAAATGTCTGAAAACATGGTTTTAATAAATACACTAAATTTAATAATTAAATCGCATTAAATTGATCAAAAATGACTAAAAATTACACTTTATAATGCCTTAAAGATTTCTATTTAAAATAATTGCTGTTGAACTTGCTTTTGAACTTTTCATCTAAAGATTGGAGTAATGGAGCATGATGTTATAAAAAAAAAAATGATGGATGAATATATGAAGTCAAATAATAATAATAGTGTCAAAATAGTCTTCACTAATTTTGTCTTCACTAATGTACTTAAAGGGTATTTGAAGTTTACCAATATTTAACAAGTTTATCAATATTTTTTTTCCTGTGTGCTTTTTGTACAATTGTTTGCAGAGATCAAACTGTTTGATCAAAAAAATTTTGAATATGCCAGGAGGATTGCTCAATACATTGATCAAGACAAACAGTTCTGCTCCATAGTCTAAATGCCTCCAAAAACCTAATTTCAAGAGACTGCAATAGAAGGCATTCTGTTAAAGCCAGCCCCTGTGAGAGATGCTGAGGTTAGTACAGCAAGACAGGAGAGTGTCACCTGTGCGTGTGGAAGAAACGATGAAGAGAATGAGGAAGATGAGGGTGAGGAAGAAGAAAGGAGAATGGTTTTCTTAGGGCAGCTCCTCAAGACCTCAGTCCCGCTGCTGGCCTTCAGAGAGACAAGAGAGGAGAAACCCGTTCACATAAATACAACACCTCACACACTCCTTTAATTAAAAAACCTGATAATACCATCCAAACATCCAATCACCTACTACACACAAACACAACCGTAGTGATGAGAGACAGGAACGTTGTGTTAAGAGAACAAACAGTGACCCATTAGAAGCAGAAACCCAGTGACTTTAGTGACACTTAACAAACACACAGACCTCCCATGCACATGGAATGTCTAACAAAGCTATCAAAACCACATCTGAACCTCTACAATCTGAGAACGAGGAATATCAAAGCACCAGAACAATAAGCAAAGCGTTCGGCTCATTCGTCTCAATCAAACTGGAAACGCAAACAAAGAGCACCAAAGTGCAGTGTTGAAATAATTAAAAAACCTGATAATACCATCCAAACATCCAATCACCTACTACACACAAACACAACCGTAGTGATGAGAGACGGGAACGTTGTGTTAAGAGAACAAACAGTGACCCATTAGAAGCAGAAAAACACAGTTGATAATCAAACCCAGTGACTTTAGTGACACTTAACACACACACAGACCTCCCATGCACATGGAATGTCTAACAAAGCTATCAAAACCACATCTGAACCTCTACAATCTGAGAACGAGGAATATCAAAGCACCAGAACAATAAGCAAAGCGTTCGGCTCATTCGTCTCAATCAAACTAGAAACGCAAACAAAGAGCACCAAAGTGCAGTGTTGAAAGATATGCCTCTAGGTCTCCGATGCATGAGCACGTCTAGTCAAACAGGAAACTAACAACAGAAGACAAGTACACAGGAGACTATATGATCACCTCATGGGACTACAGTATCTTCTCGTTTACTACACAAGGAAGGACACAGGACACTATATGATAACTGTAAAAGCAATGCGTCTTTTCTACAGCTGTGTACCTGCTCCTGTTTGATGGGGAGAGTTTGACACTTCAGTCTTTCTTTATAGCGGAAACTCATCTGCTCCTGTAACTGTGTGCGCCTCTGAATACAAGCATAAAAGATAAATTCAAGGTGTCATGTTTTCCCCTAACACACGCACAAGCCTTCATGTTCATATAACAGTTCTCTCATTAAAACAAATGGAAACAAACTTGGCTAACCAACTGATCTTAATAAACCCAATTATAGACTTTAGAGAACAGTAAATGCATTACCATTCAAAAGTTTGGGGTCAGAATTGCATTGTATTGTATTGTATTTATGTAATGACCTGTAATTAGCAAGCATGCATTTAATTGATAAAAGAGACAGTAAAGACATTTAGCTACTTCAACTCAAACAGACAAGAAACTAGCTTTTGAAACAGCATTAAAGGGGTCATATGATGCGATTTAAATTTTTCCTTTCTCTTTGGAGTGTTACAAGCTCTTGGTGCATAAAGAAGATCTGTAAAGTTGCAAACACTAAAGTCTCAAAACCAAAGAGATATTCTTTATAAAAGTTAAGAGTCAGCCACACCTACCTAAAACGGCTCGTTCTAACACGCCCCCACATACCTACATCACGATGTGGGAAGATTTGCATAACACAGCCCAAATGTTCACGCAAAGAAAGAAAGCGTAACTTTTATTCTCGCTGTAGTATTGTTGACGCTGCAGCCATGTCCTGAAGACGCTGTGTGCTTCGTTGTGAAAGCGAAACTACTTTATTTGGCCTTCCAAAAGAGGACGATATCCGCTTCGTCATGCCTAGAGCTGATCCGTGCTGGTCGCGGAGGAAATACATCAACTTCGCGCTGTCAATCGCC